TAATAATAATAATAATAATAATAAACTTTATTTTATATAGCGCCTTTAAAGCTGGGTTCTCAAAGCACTTTACAGGATGACAACAACAATAAATAAGAAGAATACACAACATAAAACACAATTACAATATGTAGAGGAGACCGTGTATGGTGGTACTAAGAAAAGCAGAGGGGTGAAGAATGGAACCAGTTAAGTAAAGGCTCTTCTGATGAAGAGGGTTTTGAGTCTGGATTTGAAGGAGTTTAGAGAAGGTGACTCTCTGATATCCTTGGGGAGAGAGTTCCAGAGCTTGGGGGCATAAGGGGAGAAGGCCCTGTCGCCCATAGAATGTAGATGGGCTTGGGGGACAGTAAGTAGAGCAGAATTAGAAGAGCGAAGGTTGCGAGGTGGGGAGTAGGGTGATAATAGTTCAGACAGGTACTGAGGTGCCAAGCCATGCAGAGCCCTATAGGTGAGCATGAGGATTTTAAAGTCCACAAGGAATTTGACCGGAAGCCAGTGCAAGGACTCCGGGATAGGAGCAATGTGAACACTTGCACTAGACCTGGTCAGGATTCTGGCTGCTGAGCATTGGACATACTGCAGCTTGTTCAGAGTAGATTTAGGTACCCCAGCGAGTAGAGCATTATAGTAGTGAATTTGAGAGAACACAAATGTATTGATCAGCTTTTCAGCCAAATTTATTGATAGCATAGGGCGCAGTCTAGCGATATTTCTGAGGTGAAAAAAAGATGTTTTGACAGTATGCTGCACATGTACTGTAGGTCGAATTTATATAGCTCTTTGCTGGACACTCCATTCAAATCACTTTACAGATAATGGGGACTGTCCTCCACCACCACCAGTGTGCAGCCCCACCTGGATGATGCGACGGCATCCATAGTGAACCAGTACACTCACCACACAGCAGCTATCAGTGGGGAGAAGAACAGAGTGCTGAAACCAATTCATAGAGGGGGATTATAAGAAGGCCATGATTGGTAAATGCTAAAGGGAATTTTGGCCAGGACGTGGGGGGAAGGGTAACCCCTACTCTTTTCGAGAAACGCAATTTGATTTTTAATGACCACAGTTTTATCTAATCACAAAAGTCACATCTAATCCAAAGGATGGCACAATTTTTACAGTATGGTGTCCCTGTCACTATACTGGGGCATTAGGACCCACACAGACCACAGGATGAGCTCCCCCTACTCGCCCTACTGGGCCCACTGCCACCACTTCCAGCAACAACCTTAGTTTTTTCAAGGAGGTCTCACATCCAGGTACTGACCAGGCTTACACCTGCTGAGCTTCAGTGGGCTGTCAGTTGTGCGTTATAGGGTGATGTGGCTGCTAGTATGTCTTTGGACTGCAGGGGGAAACCGGAGCACCAGGAGGAAACGCACGCGAGCACTGGAAGAACATAAGAAAGTCCACGCAGATACCACCCTAATTCTGAAATTGAGCCCCCAGGCCCCAGGAATCCGAGGTAGCAATGCTAACCACTGCGCCTCCCCTGCCTACTAGATCTTAGATCTACTTTCCAGCGGTGTCTTCTTCGTTTATCTGTGTGGTTATTTATTGGGTCGACTTTGAGGTCTTTGATACAGTACGTGAATTAAGTCCATGTATTCCTTTCCGTTCAAGACTCTGCTGAGCCCAGCTATCCAACAGCTCGTGGATTGAACAATTAGAGCCAATGTTATTATTGCTCTTTCAAGATTACAGAATTTGCAGTTACCTAAATCCCCAAAGCTGCACGACAAAAGCAACGCCTTCTCCGTAAAACTGCTTTTTGAAAAAGCAGTGAAAAATCCCGTCATAAAAAAAATACAGTAATGGGACCCGACGGAGTTGGTTCCTGTGTTTCAAAGACTTTGGAAAGTTTTAATGCGAGTTTGCCGGTAAACAGAAATGTTGAAGGACAACTCGCTCCGTTTTTAATTGCGTATTCCGTGCTAAGGGGTAGTTTTAAATAAAGCCAAAGCACTCGGGAACACTTGCTGTGATTCAGCTGGAAGACGATGCAAGACGATGACAGAGAACACAACTGAGAAAACCCAATTAATTGTGAACCAGCCGTTAATTTATATTAATGTGCCTACAGTATGTACTGTACCAATACAACTCCAGCGGACGTTGCTCTGTGTGGTCATTAAACCAAAAATGCATATCGGCTGTAGGTTTCAAATCTGTCAAGGCCGTTTTAAGTGCGCGTTGGGGATGTCCACCCTTGTTGGTAAAGGTTTTGGTCAATTAAAACCGATTCGGGACTGTTTCCAAGTTTCTTATGGCATGCTACACTATCTTCAAAGCCGGAAAACACCTGCAGATTCTGCAGCCTTTTGTCATTTCTCAGCAAGACTTCGTCAGGCGTGATCCGATACAGAAAGCATATTATTAACCAGAGAAAATACGTCATCCTAACAGCTCTCAGCAGATAATAGGCCAAACGAGTCTTTTTAAAACGAGAGGGGATCGGTATCAGTGGACTGCAGATGTGTTTTCGGAAAATGCCATTTTATTCCGCAGCTTTGTTAGAAGTTGACAGGGCTGTTTGGAGAGCCCCGCGCCGTTCCTATTATGCGTTGAGCTCGGCTGTCGTGTTTACACCTGCGTTCGTTCAGAGGTAAGGTTGTTGCTCGCGGATATGTAACATCAATATTTATGAACGTTTATTGCTTTAGAGAATGCATTTGTCTCTTATCTGTCAACCATACGTGAATTATTCATGCTGCTGCAATCCATACAGACAGATTAACAGAAAGCGGGGTTTGAGCAAGACTATGGGACTTGAAAAATCCTCCTGACAAAGGAATCGGGGCTCTTATTGTTGCTGTTGTTTTTGATGTATCAGTTCAATAAGAGACGGTTTGAAGACGAGACAGAAGCCCAGTGCACTCATTGATATACATGAAGAGATCGAGAAGGGGTGCTGTCTGAGAAGCATCGTTGCCATCAGGCTTCGCTACTTCTAATTTCTTAGTCCCAGACTGAATGCAACTCTGTCTGTCCTGTGGACTTGTGTGCATCCGACCGGGAATGTCGCTGCCCTTACCCGTAGGAGACTTTCTAAAAAAATAATCTATTTTAGACCCAATTCTGTGCTATTGGTTCAGCAAAAACACTGACTTTACAACATGGAAAGTTGTAGGGACCCACTTTATTTTCACTGACGCGCAATGCCACTTGGGTGAAGTGAGGTATTCTGCACTAGCAGCCCCACTGCAGTTCTTAAGGTGAACACCGGTTTGATTTGAAGAAGACGGTAGAGGAGTCTCGGCTAATGGAGTTGACAACAAAAGTCCGGGTGGGATGACAAGAGCCAAGTTCAGTCAGTCTCAGCTGCCCTAAATCATAACCATTCTTGACGTCTCTCTTTAGAACATTTAAATACGGTACCTCAACCCCTTCTCTTTTTCACATTTGTCTTTCATATTCCTCCTCCACCCCATTTTGTCTTGTGCAGCTCCTCCTTGGTCTCTCCTCACTCTGCTTGGGGATCCCAGCCTCCTTGTCCTCTGGCCAGGAGATTGGTCCTCAGTCAAACGGGTGAAGACACAGTTTACTGTGTTTTACAGCCACAGGACCTGGATGCCACACGACCATTAAGTACACCATAAATTCCCCTCTATACCATCTCACTCTAGAGGAAAATGTGAGACCGTCTGTCCAACAGCTAAAGCATCGCTGAAAGTGGATCATGCAAGACGACAACGAAGCAAAACAACCCAGTAAATCTACAACTGAATGGCAGTAAGAGAAAATAATCAGAATTTTGGGATTTCCAAGTCAAAGTTCTGTCCCCAATCCCATTGATGCTGTGTTGGGACCTGAAGAGAGTTGTGCATTAATGCAGGCCCTCAAACATCACACAGCTGAAGCCATTTTGTAGGGAGGAGTGGGCCAGAATTCCTCCCAGGGGATGTGAGAGACTCTTACAGGAAATGTTTACTTCAAGTTATTGCTACTGAAGGGGGTTCCACACGTTATTGAATCACAGTAGAATGTTGGTTGATTTTTTTTTTGTTTAATAAATAATGTCAAAGTAAAACTTGTCAGACCATTTTAGATATATCTACAGTTAGGACTTGTGAGCATTAGGTGAAGGTCAGACATGATTTAATATGTTCAATCAGAGAATTGTGTGTGTGTGTGTGGGGGGGGGTGTTTCTTTATCACGTCACTATATATACAAAGCTACCGTTCCACATTTGTTTTTCAGTGGAAAGAAAAAACGTTGAAACCGTTTGGTTAATAAATCAACCAAAATAACAAGATGATCTCAGAGTTTTCGGTTAAGCAACTGAGCAGTTTTTTAGGGCTAAAATTGGGTTCATTGTTTGCTGTAGATGTTTCATTACCTGTAACCAAAGTTCACTTACAGTGTGGCGTGAAAGGGCTATTTCACCATTTACAGTGTGGCGTGAAAAGGCTATTTCACTATGAACAATTATTTCCAGAAACAAACGAAACTTTCGAGCGCGTTACAGTGCTGTCTCGTCGACGTGATGTTAAAACAAACAGGTTTGAGTGCCGTCAATGCAGCTAATGACACTGATATGACAAATTCTAGTCCTACGACACATTGCCTACATGGATCTGCATGTCGCAAATAGGTTGTGAACTTCGGGCATCAGTGATCGCCACAAACGCCAATCCCCCAAGGACCTAACCGCAAACCGTGGACAAACTGATTGGCTAACAGCCAAGCAAGAGAAATTGCTATAGTACTCGCATTTGATTATCGTCCTTTACGCTGTGGTAGGGAGTTTATGATGCATTTATTCTAATTTGATCTTCATTTAATTACCCCCATTTACAAGGCATTGTTTTGCTCCAGTGAAACATTTGCTTCAACTTTCAGAATGCCAAACTAACAAGTAAAAGTTTTTTTTACCAAAGTTATTTTGCATTGCTTTGAAGCGTTTGCACCTATTTCGTATCTCCAAACTATCCGATCAAAAGATGAAGTTTTACCAATACTTTCTTCCTAAAAAACGCCAAATTCGTTTTTGGACAGTGGTGTCTAGATAAGAGGCATCACTGTTGTGTCAAACAAAATTAAGATCAAGATGAGACTCCCTGTATATCTGTAAACACAATCTTCTGTTTTTTAAGATGATTTTAATTTTTGCCGGCAAAACGGAAAACAAATCGTTTATCTGTTGGGACAAAAAGGCTAACAATATAGAAATTAAGTCTTTGCGTATATGGCTATTGGAAAGCATCTGAATTTTTTTGCACAAGCTGGTTTTAAAAACGTTTATGATACCAAAGGTTGTGGAACTTCTATTCCGGATGAACTAATATTATTAAGAGAAATGAAAATACACGATGACCATAAATCAAAATCTGATTTCCGATCCTTTCTTGATTTAGCCCCATGTGCAGGTACAGCATTTTCACTGGACGATAGGTGTTTACCACTGGAGGTCGCTGGCGAAAAGGAAAAGAAGAGAGCAAAACCCACTGAAAGCACATTCTTAGAAGAGGGAACTCCAGCCCTTACCAGACCTGAAAAATCCCAGTCCAAGACATTTTATTGGTAACCATTATATCATCAATTTCTAAAAACGCGGAGTTAATTATGGTAATTTAAAAATTGTGATTTGTTAAGTAATTTAGGGATCATTTGGGATGGAAATTAGTATACCCTTTAGCCATTAAACACCAGAGTTCCTTTGAAATCTCTTGCTTAAATTTGAGCAGTGATTTACAAGTTTTCTTGTGATGTAGGAAGACCTGTGGGACTAACTGGATTGGGACCCTCTAGGACTGGGGCTGGAGCCCTGACTGCCATTCCATAACCCAAATCAGACTGGAAACTGAGACTTTTTAGAATCCATTTAGAATTCAGAAACCTGTGAGAGTGAGTCCATTTTATTCTGAAGCAGCTGACAAACAGTGATTCTCCATGCTGTCTGAAATGTGTGCGGTTTTAAAGGTGGAGCTCTTATCAAAAGATAAGTTTATAAGAAGCATGCAAAGGAGAGAAGACCTCTTTGGTTCATTTTTATTGGTTTGTGATCTGACAGTTCATCTTAGCATCACAATTTTCCCCGTTCATTGTATGACAAGTGAACACTTGAGACTTAATACTACCGGCACACATTTAAAAAACTCATATGTTCTGTGTGTCCTTGAAAGACTGCAAACCAAAATAGTCCTGTACTGTTAAATTAGCCAAGCCATTAGTGCTACATATACACTACCCACTCTGTGAGTCTTACCTGAAACATATGGGCCAGCTACTTCTCAAACTCACACTGCTGTAAAATGTTTTGAGAACAAATCTTTATTAATGTATGAACAGATGTCCATGCATTAAGTAGTAAAAAAATCTATTCATATACAGTAATAATCATTCATTACACACAGGTGTTAAATAGTGGTAAGTTGAATGTTAATTATTGGAGCTGTTAGTATGGAAGCCATTTATACTGTAATTCATCTGCAGTTCAGCAGAGTAACTGCAGAACCTGGAACTTTAGTTTTGGGATGGACATATAATTTCTGTTGCTAATAAACGACAACTGATGGTCCACAGTGAAGGTCTTACCATGCATGAAAAGAACTACAGTATTTAAAATAAAGATTATGACCATTAGATATAAGTTTTCTGGACAGGTTTTCACTTGTTTTCAATTCTTGAATGAATTTATTGGTAAATTAATTGATAAAGTTGTAATAATTTAATTTTTCCACTCACAAATTCACATGCATCTTTGTAAAACATTCAGTACATTTAATATCTGAGTTAATTATATATACAGTGTATATGCTGTATAATGCATGCTATACTTTACTATGCATTTAAGTACATGCAATTTCTACTAGCTGCCCCTCAACAAGTATAAAAATGTTTACTCCAGAGATAAGTACAATGTTTAAATGATCCATCCGCATGAGTCTCAGAGACTCCATAACAAAGAGTTGGACATTGTAAATGAACTGCCAGAAGCATATCACCTACACACTTCAAAAGACAAAGAGCTCACTACCTTTCACTCTGGGCTTTTACAACTGTACAATGAAATCTTTTTGGACTCACAGAATACAGATCCCAAGCTGTGCAGAAGGCTTTGGTCCAGACAGATGTAAAAAAATACTCTCTACATTTTAAAACTGAGACTAGGAAGTTATAAATGAACATACAGAACCACTGGAGAAGAAATGAAAAAACAGTATTTTGTGTCTTGTAGTATTCTACAGTATTTTGGCTTTTGTGCTAGAAGACATGGCTAAGGATGAAAAATAAGTGTAGTTCGTCTGTCTGGTCATTATTTAGGCACTTACCATGTTCATGTCAAAACCTCTAATTCTGGTGTACAGTAAATGTTGAATTTAAGTGTTAAGTTTGAAGGATGAGGTACAGCAGATTTATAGTGTAGATGCACATTTAATTACCAGTTAAAAATGCATACAAATGCTTACCAATGTAGCTCTCATTGATGGAGAAGATTTTTGTCCAAGAGCTTTTTTAAACAACTTGAAATCTAAAAAAAAATAGTGTTCAAGACGAGAGAGTACTTCTTTGTCTCTGCCCCAATTCTTGGTGGCTTTTCTGAGAAAGACTCCGACTTCATTTCTTTTTAGAAAAGCAAACAGATGTTTGGTGCAAAAGGGATTTAATGATAAGTAGAAACCAGACAGTAAGGATGAGATCTTTCTGAGCTGACGAGATACAAATGAAACCTAAACTGGCCTTTATTTCTCCAGATATCTCTTGCTTTTAAACACATAAACACTCACACACACAAGCCAAGACGTTAGGAGTGTGGGGGGAAGAACAAAAGGCTGAACTTTGTCAGAGGACCCACTGGTGGATAGAAAAGATTAAGGTGATGACGATGATGATGATGACCCATACATCAACAGATTCATGATACTGCAGTCTTGACTGAAACATCCTATCAACTCCACTTCAGTTGAAATTATGTAAAACACATAGTTTGGTACTAATTTCTTAAAATTTCTTTTCTTTTTTTTGCTGGGAAAAACTACCTTTGAGACAAAGTAACGCTCTCCATTTTCTTTAGCAACAGGATGTTTTCGCTGGGGTAACACACCCTAGGTTAAGTTTTGGGAGTACAAATGTACAAATCTGATGAGCTGTGTGGCATCGACAACAGCACTTCCTGATGTAATGTAGGGGTTCTGCTTTTCTGTAGCAAATTCACACCTGCAGAGGAAATGATAGCCCTCTGTCTTCATTTCTGTGTGTGCCCTCACATGTTTCACAGTGTTGGTGTTTAGCAGTCTTTAATGACATAAAACATTTTTAAATCCAGTTCCACCCAACAGTTATCTGTGGATCCTGGTGAGAGTCATGGTTTGACAAAGCCTATCCTGGACCACTGTCCTCTGGGAAAAGATAACCAGGACCATGCACAAAGGGACAATTTCAAATAGGCAATCACACCTATCGAGAATGGATTTAAGAACTGGGAGGAAACCATAGCTCTGAAAGATCCACGAGAACCACAATTTCCAAATAGTCAAAACCAAATCCAGTGTTAATCTGCCATTCTAAAATCCAGTTGTGCTTCAGCATTAACTGTGAATGGTCAGGAACCTAGTGATTAATGCGACGACTGTCCTCACAGAACGATTGATGTGAATGAGAAAGAGAACAGGTCGAGAGTGAATTTGTTTTCCCTTTCCCGTTGAGAAGAATATGATTTTTCATGCTTCCCTTTCGGCCTGCATTTTTTCACTTGATGCGAACAACGACTGCAAAAAAAGTAATTTCCGGATTAGATCTTAACAGGAAAGCTTGTGTCATGTCATTAATCCAAATTTCTGTGGATGTGTGAAGCTGGTATTGGATTAAAATAAAACAGATGAGATAGTTTGTGATCTGCGTTGGCATCACTGTTTCCACAGTGCGGTTATTGTGGCCTCATTTGTATGGACGTGTTTAGACAGAAACAGCAATACAATCATGTTTTCTGCCCTTGACCCCCTCAACTGCTCTTATATCACAACAAATCCCCTTTATTTCTTTTCCATGTTAGACATAATGTGGTACAAGTTAGATTTGATACAGTGTTCCTGATTACACTCTTTATCCTGGGCTGATGTGTGGTTCTTTACACAGAATGATGTGTATTTAGTGGGTTTTAGTGATGTTACCAAAAGGAAATAATGTAGAGTAGAGCCAAACTATCTCCAGCTAACCCCCTCCCCTACTTTCGTGGTCATTTCTCCTATCCGATCTTCCCCACAAGCAGAGTAATTGAGAAATGAACAGTGACTGTTTGAGAAGGCATTGGTCTGGAAAGCCTCATTACAGTGCAAGACAGTACAGTGGAACAGGTCTGTTTGTCCCCTTCGAACCCGAGTCTCAACACTGAAAGGAATGACTGCACGGTGCGTCCTCCAGTGGACTTGGGTAGCTTCATTTAGGAACCACATTACTGTACATGCAGCCAGAACCCCCTCTCACCCCCCTGTTCCCATCTCCGCACACACACAAAACACAAAACATACCGCTGAGCTCACTTAGGTTCAAGAGAAGTCTGATTCTTAAGGCTTTGCTCATTTGCCCGGCGAAAGTGAGAAAAGAAAAGATCAGATTGAGACAAAATGCTCCTGAGTGTTTTAACAACTTCAAACCTTTCATGTGACAAAGAGGATAATTTGAAGCAGCCCCCAGTGACAAGAGGCAATTCTCCACCTCAGTAGGGAGCTTTGCCTCCTTTGTGCCTTGTGTTGCAACGTTTCTGTAAATGAAAGGTTTTGGTTCATTTATCGCAGCAGATTAAAATATGATACAATACCCAGGGTGAGGAGCTGAGTAGGCAGAAAACAAATCCCAAACAGACACGGCTTTTCAATTTCCGCAGCAAATTTTACTTTTAGGATCCTGATCGCAAAGGAAGTTTATTTCTTGTATACCGTTTCTTCTGAAATTGATGCCAAAGCATTCTGCTTTCTTGGAGAAGGAATGGAAGGTGAGAAAGCAGACTCTCGCAACAGAGTGTGACTAAACTAGTGAATTGCAGGTAGGATAATGAAGACCTGGAATTTCAATACTGTGCTGTAGATTTCCGTATATCTTCGCTGATGGTTTCATTGTTATTTGTTTGTGAGAACATTACAGTCTTCTACTTATAGGAAACAAGGCAGATTAATGGCCAGTGTCGCCTGAACAAAATCTTTCAGCTGCTGTTGATGCAAAAGCACTGGGCGTCTTCAAGCACAATACCAGTAGGATTGCATCATAGAAATGGTATTCTATTCTTTCCTTTTTGACATAACCCTTTCCACAGTTTTAGAAATCACTTTAAAGCAAAGTCACAAAAAAATCATTTTGCAGAGCAAGCATCTGATTAGTTATTTAAGTATGAAGTTTTAGGGCACCTAATTCAATTAATCAAGGCAACTACAGGACATTGTGTGTGTGCGTGTGTGTTGGGGGGGGGGAGCATTTTTTTTACATACAAGTTAAAATTATTCCCAGATCTACTGTGAATCCTTGAGTCTTCTCAGGGGCTCCCAGGAGACGCAGGCTTGAGGATCCAAATTTGAGGAGCAGTCATGTACTGTATGTGCAGGCATGGGGAGAACGTGGAATAACCCAGCTGGGGAAGTCTGTCGACAGTTCCCTTTTGGGTGTGGGAGGTTAAAGAATGGAATACAGTTTGTTTTAGTCATTATTACAGACAGCAGGAGAATGTGGGAGAGGGCCAAGGTTTTCATGTTTTAGATTGGGCGTTGATTGTACCAGCTAATAAAAAGCAATGCCAATAAGGAAGGAAACTGTGATATGTAAACTTTAACTTTATGAAGCGAGGCCATCAGTGGAGAAGAATGTAAACTGTGCTAGAAACTACACTACCCTCCTCGGCATTCTTTTACTGCGCTTCATTCATGCACACAGTAACGGATTTGTTAGTGTCACAGTGTTTGCTCCAGCTGCAAACTTCACAGGTTGAAGTTTCTTGAGAATGGCAGTGCTACAGTACCCAGCACTGTGTCTGTTTAACGGGGCCGCAGGGAATATTGCACACATGCTGAATTTCAGGAAAAGATGTTCTCTGAAATTCCAGTCCTCAGTCTGCTTTCATATAGTTACATACCTACAATCAGTGTCGCATCAAAGCACTGTCAAAACATACAGTAACAATCCATGTAAGAAAATAGTCTAGCGGGTAAAGGATAAAACTGGCTCACAAGCCTTTAACCCTTTACAGCCTGGAAAAGTCTTTATTTCCAACTGCTTTTTAGGTCAAATTCATTTAGGTTCATGTTTTTCATTAATTTTGTTGCAATATTTAAAACTAAATACAGTCTTTTCTTATCCAGAAAGTCCAAGGCAAATAGATTTCATTTATCTTTCATTAGTATCCTTGGGTCTCCATGTGGTTAAACATTTTAACAAAGACAAAGCTCAAGCTATGGTCAAGCCCTCATGATCTGCTGGTTTAAGACATGAAAGGCAAGAAAATTTACCTTTTGTAATTCTCAGTTGGCATTTTGATGGCTCTCTGTGAAAGAGCAGTAATCTAAGATCTATCTGTACGTTTTAATTTTGTAAATGCATTCAACCTACCTTGGAAATATTAATTACCACTTGCAG